TTTAAAAATGAAAGGTCAAAGGCACCAAGAGGCCAACACCTAAATGGAGCGGTGCTGTATCAGTGGGATGCTCACAGGTTTGGGAAAAACACTCTTACATTCTCTCAGCCTATTAAAAATTACATCTGATTGAAGAGTCACATTTTTGCACAGTTCGTTATGGGATTTTTAGCAAGTAGGGTTTTTTTTTTTTTTTCCACTTCCCAGAGAGAAACTCATTTCCATGGTACTTTGCTGATTATTAATATGCTACAAAAAGCAACGAGATGAATCTCAGCTTGTCTCACCTGATCTTTGAAGAAGAAAGTTTTCTGCAGACTCAGGACAATTCTGTTACAGGCCATACAGACTAATGATGGTTAGTTGCTGTTGTTTTCTTCTTCTGCCTTCAGAAGTAAATATTCCTCTCTGTGACTGTTAGCCTAAACTCTAGGGAAACAATTGTGTCAAGCCACTGAAGTGCCTACAGTTCATTCTGTTCTAAAATGCAAAGTTGGTGAGTTTTACTCGTCAAATCAAGACGATGGTATCTTTCGAGAAGGGAGTTTTAGGTGTCCTTAGGTTTGGGGATAAAGACCAGGACCGTTTCAGACAGCCATGTGAGCAAGTGTGTGAATGCAAAGGAGCTGCATCTTAAACTCTGCCTATTGCTTACTCTTATAACGATGTCTCTCTTCGAGCCGGTTCTGTACCTCCCACACCTTCACACCTCCTCATATGAGAGCAGAAAGGGTAAGCAGTTTTGTTTCTTTTTTTAACAGCTGTATTACCATACTTTACCAGAACACCAGAGCTAGAGTGCTGGTGAGCATTAAAATGCATTCAAAGGGCCTGTATCTAAATTCTCTCTCTCAATTTAATTGTAATTACTGGACAAGGCTTGTAGCTCCCTGAAAGTACAGCTGAATAGAGCCCTCAGCAGCCCAGGCAAAGTGGGGATGATGCCCCTTAAATAGCCCATTACAAAGAATGGGAGAATAAACAAAGATATCTGGGTGTGGGGGTGACAGACCTCATCCCCTCATGTGCTCTCTCTCTCAGTCACTTCTTCAATGCAAAGCTTTTATCAATGTATTATCTTTGCACCAATTTTGGTCTGGGATTCCTATCACTAAATTAAATTGGACTCCTAAAAGTCCAAGTAACAAGGCCTTTTCAGAAAGACAATGTATTAGCTTCCAGACTGGTGTAGCAAGCTCCTAAGGATCACCAGCAAAATACAGGGGCAAAGACTCCCAACTCATGAACAGTTTTCTGCAGGATTAGGCAGGACTTAGTATGCGAGATTACAAATTAACTGCTATTCACATGGAGAGCATCATATACCACTCACGCTGCTTCTGACAGAATTGTCACAGTCAACGCTTTTTAAATTTTTTTGCTATTTTTCCACAAATTCAGGTCTCCCAACATACCCAAACAACAATAGATCCATTTGACACTCGGTAGGAAATGCTCATTACCAGCAGTATGTCCTCCCTCTATACTTTTTCCACCACTGTAATTCTTACTGAATGTCTGTCTCTTTGGAGGACTATTTACAAAGGCCTAAAACGTCCCTACCAGAAGTTACCATTTTTTTGGAAGTCCTTGCAAAACTGCTGAGGGCTTACTGTTTGTCTAATTTGTTGCAAGTCCTTTTAATAACTCATGACTATGATACGGATAGGTCTTCTCTCGGTCATTTTGGCCTCAAAACTGCATGTAAGGTTTGATTTGGGCAGGTTTTCCCCCCCCCCCCCCCCCCTCAGATGAAACACCCTTTTTTGGGCCCCTTTCCCCCCCCCCCCCTCGTCTCAGATGCAACAGCCTTTTGCTGTTTGGGATCCATCACATCAAATCTTTATTATGTCAACTGCACTGCTTGACTTGTATTTCCATAATGCTGTGGGCCAGACTTATCACACAAAGCTTTCCTGCCTCTCCCACAAGGTCTGATAGCAATACGACACAGGTTCACTATGTCAACAGCATCAACAAATCCCAGTCTCATGTGGCAACATTTACTAGCGGATCAGAATAATCGGGCACTCCACAGGGCGATTTCTTCTCTTGGCAGAATTTTTTTACTGAGTCAAGTTTTTCCACAGCTGAAAACTCCTTCCCCTCCTCACCCCCCCATCTCTTTCAACAAGTGGTGTCATTTTAGTCTAAGAAGAAAAGCCATGAACTCAGGCCTTATTCCCACTACTTTTGATCCAGCACCTTCTTCAACCTTCACACTTACTTTGCTAATCCCAGAGGGTGCAGCAACATAAATGAGTGCAAGACCTACCCTTTCCTGCAACCTTTAACGATTCTGATTTGTAGGTTTCCTAGACACATTTCTTAGACCTGCAGCCCGATCCCGCGGGTGAAGGGTTCAGCACTAAGTGATGGTAAGTGGCACAGCAAGGACTATCTCTAAACAAGCAATTCTGATTCAAAGCAAAATTGCAACAAATCTTTCCCTTTGTTGTGTGACCTTCAACCTTTAGAGCTACCTATGCCTGTTTGTATGACCTATTGTCCCTCAAATATGCAAGTCGATCAGTTACAGCACATTTAACCATCGTATTTGCTTGCCTCCCTTTGAGGTCATAAGATATGCTTACATTCAACCATATGCCAAATTCTTAAAAAGGGTCAACGGGCCATTTTCCTTCATAAGAAGGAAAATGCTGTCCAGTGACCTAAATAATTGACCTCCCCCAGTCAAGCTTTTAACAGTATGTTTCTCATGGCCAGTTTTCTAGTAGGCCTGCAGGTTTTGGTAGTTATTATCTTGA